CTTTCCCAAGAAGCATCAGTTTGATGTTAACACCTTTGTGGTGAGTTTCAGTGCTCAGATATTCAGACCAGTATGCAGCAAGGAAATTAATGAGAATTATGTTAATTTCACTCTGCAACTGCTACTTTAGAAAGCCCGGAGCAGGATCAGACACTGAAGCTATTCATGAGAAAGGATGACCCAAAAACTAAAGGCTGAGGAAGAGCAGTGCCGTATAGACTCTCTCTGTAAGGAATAATAGGCAGACAGCTAAAGGAACAATAGATTAGCAGAGACACTCTGTACTTATTAGCAGCCAGGAGGCCGGAAGAGGATAGTATAGTTATTCTTCCATCCCAGTAGATAGGAGGCTGGGAACATTGGTGGGGTTGAGAGAGCAGCACTTCCACCCGTGGGAGAGGAAGGCTTTATGTTTATCAGCCACCTATGAGCTGGAGACCTATATGAAAGATAGAGCCCCGGCATAGGATCCATGAACAGCACCCTGGTAGGAAGTGTGATGCCTTCTCCCTTCCCACCTGGTGGGGAGTAAATTGAATGGGCTTCTCACTAGAACATTTCCACAGATTGTGTTGATGTGTCCCATTCCCTTATCTTTTATCCTGGACTCTGCCTAGGAACGTTAGCCCTCTGGTTAATAGGTGGCTGGTAAAAATTTTTCAACATGTACATTCTGGCCAGTGAGACAGGGACCCACAGAGATTTCTCCATTAGCCTTCTGATTCTGGAGATCCCGTTTGAAATCCTGAAATAAATTTGGAAAGGAGTTTACAGGATCATCCTAATCCCTGGTCCTGTAGATATCTGTCCACACCATAAAGCCACTCCAACAATATACAAATATCAATCTTTACGTGAACAGGTTCAGGCCCCCTGTGATGCTGCAGTCAAAGCAGAAATTGTGTTAGCAGAATAGCGCAGAGGGGTTTGCTGAAGAGCCGCCTCTCTGCTCTGTAGTGGGCCTGGGCTCTACCTTTTGTGTTTGTCACTCCCACAAGAATTAAAGTCACTCCCACATCTTCTTCACGTTAGTTTACAGCTGTGCTTGAAAAAGAGACCAGGTGGAGACATTGCAGCAGCATCTCTCAGCTTCTGGTGTTGGGGTGGCTGGAAGGGGTGAGCTAACACTGTACTTTGGCAAAGGAAAACAAAGAAGTAACCATTGTAAAGTTAGTTTATTTAGCGGAATGGTGAGAACACAGGAGAGCAGAGATGAGAGCTGCAATGCAAACCACAGTCCAGACTGTGCATTTGCTGCAGAAGATGATCATAATCCCCCGGAATACAGGCAGGGAAAGGGTTAATGTTACCAGTACCCAGAGACCCACTGAAGTCAGACCTTCCAAGCCATGTGGCAGAGCAGATAGGAAAATCCCTTTGCCTGGTGAAGGAATTATAGGATGAGAGGTGTTCCAGGCAAAGTTGTATGGACAGAGCCATATATTTGTGTTTGAGGCATGAGAGTTAGACTGGATGGTCCAGTAGGTATCTTCCCACCCTATCCCCTAGAAGCCAAGCCTTTGAATAAAAAGGATCAAAGAGCAGAAACAGTGTACCTAGCTTTGAGGGTTAGTTAATGTAACAATCGTTTCAGCTTAGAGGAACTAAGATTTGGGTAGCTTTATTTTTTGAAAAGACAACGGGTGTATGTAAATGTCTGTATGCAGATGCAAGAGAAGCCAGTTGAAGCCGGGGTGATCAAACATGGATTCTCACACCCTACTAAGTGTTCAGACACCCGGAAGGTATTTTTATTGTGTTTAATAAATAAACAAATCACCGCCACAATCCTGCCCATTTAAGGGTCAGCCCCAAGGGCTTCTCAGGGTGTGTCTACATTACAGACACCATACTGGCATAGCTATATTGGCATAGCCCCATACTGGAGGTACAGCCTACACCAACAATAGTTTTTCTGTCAGTGTAGGAACACCACTTCCCCCAGCAAAGCCAGCTGTGTTGATGGAAACCCTCTTTTGTCAACATAGCTGTGGGGGGGGGGGTGGGATCTGTTGGCATGGCTATGATGCTCACAGAGGGGTGTGGTGGTTTAGGTTTTTTACACCCCTGGCTGATGTAGCTGTGCCAATATAACTTTTCAGTGTAGACCAAGCATAAGCTTTCTTCAGCCACGGCCCCAACAAATACGAAGGGTGGCTTGCTGCAGCCAAGTCCAGCAGGAACAATGAATTTGAGAACACTCACTGCTGTCTAAGCTAGAGGCTATTGGCCCAATTTGCAGTGGTGATGAGCACACACTGCTCCCACTGATGCAATGGGAGCTGAGGGTGCTCAGCACCTTTGAAAGTCAGGCCCATGAACCCCAACCCACTGCACAGGAGAAACTCTTGCTGCTGTATTGC